ACATTCCCGATGTTGTCAAAGATGCAAATATTATGCCAAATCAAGTAGATTATCATGGAAATTTTAATGCAGAAATTTTTGAAGACCTTTTTTCAACTCTTTGTAAAGCACTTTATGAAAAATATGGACCTGTAAATATTCATATGGATGGAGCAAGTTATCATAAACGGCGGGTTGAAAATATTCCAACTTCAAATACAAAAAAGCAGGAAATAATTGATTGGCTAAATGCTCACAATATTGTTTTTTCTGATGAATTAAGAAGACCAGAACTTTTGGAGCTGGTTCAAATGAACAAAGAAAAGGTGACATTTGCTTGTGTTAAAATTGCAAAACAGTATGAACATGAAGTTTCATTTACCCCTCCATATCATTGTGAACTTCAGCCAATTGAAGGTATTTGGTCAGTTGTGAAGGGTGAAGTTGCACATTCAGGCCCACATCCAAACCTTTTATCTGTTCAAAATACACTTTTAAATGCTTTTAAAAAAAAAATTACATCACAGGTAATCATTGGGTTCTGGAGAAGAGCACTTAAAAATGCTAAGGAATACTTAGAATTTGATGATAACGCACAATTAATGGATGAAGATTTTGACGAATATGATAATTCTGATGAAGATTGCGTTATTTAATCTAATATTCATATTTTGATTTTCCCAACATGTTATTGATATAATTAAATAAATAAAAAAAATTTACATAATAAAAAATTTTTTTTTCAGTCCTCTGTTTGAGGTACAAATCTTTTTGCACCGGACCATAACTGAAAATAACTGAAAATAACTGAAAATAACTTTATGTAACATAGCTAAAATAAATAGATAAAAATAAATAAAAAAATAAAAAATATAGTAAAAAAATATCCCTATATTACCATAAATTATCCTGTTACAATGCAACAGGTTACAGCAGCTAGTTAATTAATAATATTTTATTTTAGTTATTACTCAGAATATTTTTTTTTATTATTAGCTATTGATGTTTAATGAGCCAAATTTAAAGTTCAATGAAAGGGTGGAAATAAAAATTCAATTTTGATGATAAAGTCTTAAGTTCAAAACTTATTATAAAAACTCAGTTTCCGAATTCTACCTATTGGAACTTCACTGTAAAAAATCTGATCTGTGTTTTATCTTTCCATATTTTTTCTGTGAATGTATCATTTTAATGGAATTTATAGCCTTAAATCATAGAAATTTTCATCTTGTTAATACGAAAGATCGTTAGAAAGAGTTTTGTTATTTATTTTATGCAATTTATAATAACATTTGTAAATTTTATTAATTTAATATACAGTATAACCTGAGTTTAAAAAAACAAACCAGTTCCTTACTATATTTAGTTAACCATTTTTTTTTTAATTTTACTTAATTATTTTAATCTTACCTATTGTAAGAATTTAAATAAAAACCCTTAACGTTCCAGTTAACTTCGTTAAAATAAATAAATTTTTTAAAACTATTTTTTTCTTAAATAAAAGTATAAACAAATGTTGTTTTTTATTTATAATGAGTAAATTAAGTATAGAGAAATAACAGATTTTGGTTTATTATAAGTTAAAATAGTGATATATACACAATTGTATGAAAATAGTTCTTATTAAATTTTTAAACCAATTAAATTAACTAATATAAGTCCTATAAATTTTCTTTTTTTTTACATTTTTTTTTTGTTTACTTATTTTGTATCTAATTACAACTATTTTAATTTGCAGAAAAAGTATGGTAAGTTTGTTATTTTAAATTTTATAGCAAATATATTTTAACTATTATATAATTATATAAGATTCAATGCATAACAATCTATTTTATGATCTAAGATCAGTTAAATTTTTCAGAAATATAACTTTCAAATATTTCAAAAATACAGATAATTTGTCAGTTTATTTTGTGAACAGTAATCTTAATGTTAAAGATTATTGTGTGAATATTATAATTTTTTTATTTCTTATATTAACAATAAAATAATAGCATTTTATATATAAGAATTATCAAAATTATACACTCTATTTGGATGATATATTTAATAAAGATCTATTCAAACCAATTTATTTTGAAAATTCTGATATTTTTATTGTCAGTTTTGTCTATTTTACTTTACTCACAAGATTTCTGAAAACTGAAATGGAAGATATTAAAGTTGGAACAGATAATGTAGATAATATTATTTGTTTATCATTTTACAGTGTCAGCAATAGAATTGCAAAAGAATTATCATTAAAAGAGAAGGCAAATCATGAGAAAAAATTGAAAGAAAAGCTTTTTGATTGGTATAAATTAATTATTCATGAATATAATATGTAAATTTGTATTAAATTTACAGTATATTTTATTTTTCTAGCATTTTAATATCAGTTGGTATATTACTTGCTGATTACTAATTAAATAATTTTGTGTTCTATAATTAGATATTTCGCTTTATCTGTTATAACTAAAAAAAAATTTCTAAGAAATTTAATAAACTATCTATTATATAGACTATCATATACTTAATTAATTTTAAGCAATAATTTTTCTTAAATAATTATTTGCTTCAAAAATAAGTTTTTTTTAGATTTTTTTGAGGTAGGAATAAATAAATATATTATTTTAAGAGTTAAAATATATCAGATATGTAATTTCATGTGAAAAAAAAGCTGAAAATTAGTTATTTAGATAGTTTTTGTATAAAATACAAAAAATTGATTTTATATGAAAAAATAAAATTTATATTTCTAGCTGCAGATCATCTTTAATTTTTTTTATGATTATAGGACCTGTAAAATTAAATAGTTAACTGAACAATACATATATATATTAGTTGATTTTGACATGTAATTTATATTATTGCAAAAGAAAAAAAAAATAAAATTTCTTTATGTAATTTTATGTTAATTTAATGTATATAGTATAAAAAATATTTTTATTTGATAAAAAAGATAATTCGATAAAACAATAAATTTATAAAATATATAAAATATAAATAAAACTATAAATAATATAATGTTAAGTAATAAATAACAAAGTTATGTTTCTGACATGCAACATAAAATAAAATAATAGATATATATAAAAGCAACACCTTATATAAAGTCAAAATAAAAATATCTCAAAAATCTACTAAGAACATACGCAAATTTTCTATTTCACATAAATATATGTAAAATAGAAAAAAATTGTATATTTTTGGTATATTTTTGGGAGATTTTCTATTTTAACTTTATACAAGGTGAGTAGCAAATTTTGGTGAATTGCTTGCTTCATTTTTTTCACGTTTTTCTGATTCAGTTATATTACTTAAATCAGATTCTTCCAACTCTAAGGATGAGGAAATTGCTTCGGAATTAAAATTTTGTGCTGTTTGTTCTGTACTCATAAATTCTGATACCAATTTTTTAAATACAAGAAACGGAGTTGAGTTTAATATTGCGGAAGATAAAGAATCTTGCTGTTCCATATTCATTGCTAATTTTGATAATGATTCTTCGATTTCAGAAGTTGAAGAAGTTGTAAGTAAAGATGCTACGGAAGATGGAGAAAACTCTTCTTTATTTGTTGCATTTTTCATTATTTTAAGTGATAATTCTAATAATTCTTCATATTCAAAAGGTAAAGGAGTTATAGGTGAGGACATTTCAAAAGTTGGGTCTGTATTCATTGTTATTTCTTGTAATTTTTCTTCAAACTCGGAGGTTGCAGGTAAAAATGTTGGAGTTAGGAGAAACTGATCTGCGCTCGTTAAATCTGGTAATAATTCTTCAGATAACGAAGAAGATATTTCAAGAGTTGGAAAAAAGTTTTGCTCTGCATTTATTAACAATTCCGATAATCGCTCAAATTCTAAAGGTGAGGGAGTTGTAGGTGAAAATGCAGTAGGAGTTAGAAGAAGTTGTTCTGTATCAATTTTATCAATTTCCAACTCTGGGGATGATTGTTCGAATTCCAAAGATGAAGGAGTTGAAGGTAAAGTCTGATCTGCACTCATTGCCAAATCCGGAATTAATTCTTCGGATAAAGGAGAAGGTATTGCAAGAGTTGGAAAAAAGTGTTGCTCAGCATTAATTATTAATTCCGGTAATTGCTCAAATTCCGAAAATGAGGAGGGAGTTGCGGGTACAAAAGTTGCAGGCGAAGGAGTTGCAGGCGAAGATGCTGCGGGAGTTGGAGGGAGTTGTCCTGCATTAATTTCCAATTTTAGTTCAAATTCCATATTCGTAGGAGTTGTAGGTGAGGATGTTAAAGGAGTTGGAGGAAACCGGTCTTCAATTATTGTAAATTCAGATAATGATTCTTTATTCTGATGATTTCTTGCTCGTTCTTCCATAATTTTTTCTTTTTCATTCTTTCTTTGTGAGGATTTTACTTTCTTATTTTTGTACTTCATTTGCATATTTTTGATTCTTTCTTCCTTTCTTTGTATATTTATTGATGATTTCTTTAAAATTCTTGGTTTATATTTATAATTTTCACCATATTTTTTCTTATGTATCTCAGCAGCCTTTCTTGATAAAGCTTCAAATAATTCTATTGTTTCTTTTTCTTCTTTATTCCACATTTTTGAAATTTCTTTTGAAATTAATGCGGATTTCAATCCAACAAATTCCGAGTTCAAACTTTTATCTCTACGATAAAGAATCCACGCATTTTGACGACGTGGAATTTTTTTCATGCCATTTTTTTGATTTTTTTTTGCAAGTCGTGTGCTATTCGAATTATTTATAAGAATTTCAATACTCTGATTAAATTTATATTTTGAACCGTAAATAATATCATCATCGGTCTTGAAGTTTTCATCAAAACATATAGGTCTATTAGGGTCTGGTTCTAAGATGACACTGTTATTAGTAGAATTATAATTATAATTATTGGAATTATGTAAATCAAAAACGTGTATATACATCGAAGAAGAAAAAAAAAGAGGAAAAAAAGTTTATTTTTGGAAAAGGAAGGATTTTTTTTTTTTTTCATAGAAAGTATTTTATTCCGGATGATTTTTTTTGTCTCTTATTTTGGTAATTTTTATTATGGAATGATCGACACGTGTAACGTTCACTAAAAGTACGCTTATCCTATTTAATGTTAGATAATCTTTTTCGAACTAACTTATTTCATAAAGAAATGGTTACTTTATTAAAGCCATGTTTATATTTATTAAAAGCCATGTTTATTAAAAAAAGAAAAAAAAAATGATTATCTACGATATGCAATATTCAAAAAAATAAAATCTGTTTTTATGTACAAAATATCTTATGATAACATACTGTATATGTGTGTATATATAGAGAGAGAAAAGTTATATATATGTAGAGTGAATAATGTATATATATATATATATATATAAGGAATTATCGTGAATATTTGACGTCTAAAATAAGTTCTAATGTTAACATTTACTCATAAATCAAAAGCAAATTAAAAAAAAAAAATTGTATAAATGTTTTATAATCTTTTGTATCCGTTATAATAAACTTGCAAGAAAAAATTACACGTGTAACAAAAATAAACATTATAATGAGCAAATGTTTTTAAGTTGATCCTTATATTGTTTTTTAATCCTCTCTCAACCAAGGATGATTCAAAACATCGTCTATGGTCGGACGTTTTTCTACATCACGATCAAGCATACGCTTAACTAGGTCAATCGATCCTTCTGATAATATATATGGGATTCTCAAATCTCTTGCAATTATCTCATCGATATTGTAGAAAGGATTTTCTTTGTAAATAAGGGTGTATAATAAAATTCCTAATGCCCAAATATCTTGAGGTGGACCTTCATACTTTTTACCCGTTAAGACCTAATAAATATTAATTAATTAATAAATAATAATATAATATTTCTTCGGAAATTATATTTCTACTATTATTATTACTAACCTCAGGTGCAGCGTAGTCTATAGTCCCACAGAAAGTATCAAATTTTCTATTATTTTTAATATATGCGCTAGATCCAAAATCAATTAATTGAACATTTCCATCTTCATCAAGTATCACGTTTTCATCTTTAATGTCACGGTGTACAATCTTATTATGATGCAAATGCTGAATTGCTCGTGCAACTTGACGAAAAATTGACTTGATTTCTGCTTCAGGCATGGTAGTATTCAATTCAATATAATCGAAAAGATCCATACCTCCACCATGCAATCCCATTTCAATGTAATAACAATCATCATCTTCAAAGTAATCAACTATATAATAATAAGAAATTAAGTTAATAGATAATTCAAATATTATAAATATTATCGAATATATTTCTATTAATGTTTACCCATTTGAACAATATTTGGATGTGGTATACGTCTTAAAGTGTGAAGAATGTGAATTTCTAATGGGATAGTACCGAGTGTCTTATCACGAGTCCAACAATCCATTAAAATTCTTGATTTGTCAACAAACTTAATTACAACCTTTTTCTATATAAAAAAGAAGAAAAACGTTTTAAATAATGGTACTTAATTATGATAACCGTACACATACATCAATAACATATTATAAAGGTACCTTTTCAGGATCATTTTTGTTATATGCTAAATTTACTTGACCATAAGCTCCTGAACCCATATTTTCCAAAATTACAAAATCATTAATAGTCTTCGCAAAAGTTAATGCTGAATATGACGAAGGGTCGAAAGATTCAGGTACAGGTAAAATTGAAGGTGGTGATGATATTCGTCTATTATCAGGAGATGGAGGTTTTCCACCGGCTGCAATAAATTTTGATCGAGTAAACTTTTCTTCTTCTTCTTCCTCATTTTTATCTTCTTGCTTAGATTGACCAAGAATTTCTTCTTGTCTCTCATAAATTGGAGTTATACCACCATAAGTATCAAATGATTGCTCTTTTCCGAAATTTACATTACGATCATAAGTAATCCATAATGCATGTAATGGTTCATCTGGGGATTCTACAACTCTCATTTGAATATCTACATCAAATTCTGTACCATCACGATGTACGGCAATTATACCGGAGGGACCTTGCCCTGATATACTAACATTTGAAAAATCTTTACTATGACCATGAGTGTAAATGAAAAGATTTGAAATGTATGCTGTAGCTCTACGGAAAGCATTTTCACTAATTACAATTCCTTCTACAAGAGCTCTTTCTGAAGCCAAATATTCAATAAGTTTAGGAAATTGTGGTAGAAGAGATTCGATATGACGCTTTCCTATCAATTCATGAGCACCAACACCAAATAAGTATTTAACAAATTCGGTATTACAAGATTGAATAATTCCGGTCTTGAATGTAGTTATAACACCAGCAATGGTAGGAATGGATATTATTTTTAATCGGTAATAGGTCTGATCGTCACGCGAATCTTCTTGAATCGTTTGTAAGGATATTTTACCAATTATTGGAAAATTACCACCATTCTTTGATTTACTACCATAAAATTTCGTTTTATCTATCTTGTCGATATCTAATTTTGATGATGAATTTGATTCAACTCTTTTATCAATTTCCATATCATCGTTTCCGTTGTCATTGTTAGATGTAGTTATTGTCTCGAGTGATGGAATTAGTACTGTAATACACATTCCAATAAGTTCTTCAGGTGAATAACCGTACAAAGCCTTAACATCTCCCGAAGCTTTTCTTATTATACCCTAATTATATTAAATAAAATTAATTAATATAATAAAATAATTCCAATTACAAATAGTAGTTATATAGTTAAACTAATTACCTTGTTATCAATTTCTGTGGTCATCATTGTTTCAGTGATCTCTTCGAAAATCCAGATAAAAATAGTATTTCCAAATTCATCCTTTTTAACTTTTAACCATAATGAAGCAGCTGATGTTTCTTCATTTTTTCTTTTTATTGGTATCTGAATAAATAATAAGATTGAATTAAAAAAAATAAATAAATAAATAAATAAATAAAAAGCATCAATAAATGAAATAAAATAATAAATTAAAATTACATACCACTTTACCACAAGCCAACACAACTTCACAATTATCTTCATCATTTTGAGGTCTAGAGGCAAGGATTTTTTCCTGTTTTTCACGAAAAGGACTGGCGACCAAATCCAACGCTTTAATACTAAATAATTCATCTTTCGGATATCCAAAAATCAAACAAGCAATATCATTTGCACATAAAATATTACTTTGATTATCGGTCGTAATGATTGCTTTGTTTTGAGGAGTGAATCTAGTAGGAGAGTGTAAACTTGTATTGTATAATGTTGTAATGTGGTCCAATGTTCGATGTTGACCTGATTCATTATCATCAGTTAATTCGGAAGGAAGTACAATATCAGTTGATTGAGAAGGAGAAGAATCAACTAATGAAAGTACAGCAGGTATTTTCCATCCTTTTATTTTATTTTTCATGAAATCGATAGATTTTCGAAGAATATTTTGTCTATTTTCATACATTGAACCTTTATTTGTAACGAAACTAAAACTGTGTAATGAATCCGTCGAAAATCGACGAAGATTGATATGTTGAATGGTCACATTTTGATCGTTTAAATTTGATCTGTCTTCTCGAATTCTTTGTAAACCATTTGGAATAATGCTTGTATCATTTTTTATTAGGTCTTGTTTTGTATCTCTATTTTGTAAAAAATGAATATTTCTATTAGAACATATTCAATAGATATTTTATAAATTGGTTTAAAAATACTCTAATCATATAAAAAATGGAAACAATATAATAATAAATAAGTTATTATTACTCACTGAGAATCGTCCATCTCATGAAAATGAAGGCGTTTTTCTGTTTGATAAGGTAACTCTATAGAAACAAAAATTTTTTGTTTAAAAGTATGTAAGGGTGAAAAGTCAAGATGAAATCATAACTTTTGAGATGGCGAGGGAACTACCTGTGATTTGAGTCATTTTTGAATTTAATGATAGTAGTTTTTTATTTGACTGAAATTTGAATAGATATTAAATTAATTGGACTTTGAAAAAAAAAAAAAAAAATTTATATATTTATATATATATAATATTAATCAAATTATGTAGATACTCTACAATTATAAATAATTTTTTTATAAATAATATATAATATAATAGAAAAACAATTTAGATGATGATAAAAAAAATCTTTTTTTTTACGGGACGCGCTATTATTGCCTAATATGGTAAACTTCCTAACAGCTGACCTATATTATTAAACATAATTGGTTTTTAGAATCCGCAACAAATAAATTGAACATCATGAGACTTTTAATAGACATTATGCTGCACTATGTGGACTTATAAATGCGAGGGTCAGGTCAGCATAAAATTTTCTAATCCAATACTTTGTTTCAGAATTTAGGTAAAAAAAAGTAAAAAAAGAAACTAAGATGAAACCTTACGATAATAACATAATAACACTTAATGTGTTAATGTGTTAAATGTGTGAATGTAATGTAGTAGTCACATGAACGTTTCAAAGAATTTAAAACTTGTTAGAATAAACATAAACAGGAAAATCAAAGTATACAACATAAGTTAGTAACATACGCAATAAATATTTATTGACATGTTTGTACGGGCAGTGTCAATGTTATTTTAGTTTAGTTTGATTTTATGTTTACTATGAATCATCAGGATCATGTGTTTGTCTGTCTATCTTTCAAAGTAACTTTCGTTTTTTAAAACAATGGGATTTAATAATGTATGAATTTTATAAATTTTGTCCATTCTATCCATTCTATTCATTTCATAATTTCATTCTCAACTAAATTAGTTCTCATTGTTTAATAGTAGTATCTAGGAATAGTATCTAATATTATCTATTCGAAAGTTATCGAAATTATCGAAAGCTAAATATAATTAATTTTTTTATCCAGTATATTCCGGTATATAACTAGAAAAGATAAACAAGGATCAGGAAATCAATTCCCGATTCTTTTCTTTTTTTTTTTTTGTATGGTGTGTATGGTGTCATTGCCAATTTTCTATCATCCCTTTATCCCTTTCCCTTAACCATATTAATTTTTCATTTTTATTTAGCACCCAGGTTTATCAGGGTCTCATATTTTTCAGTCACGTTAAAAAAATCATAATTTTCATGTGATATATCTTACTAGAAATTCTAGAAACTTCTTTAGCTTTCTTTCAGGTTATTTTTTAAAAATTATCACGAAAAGCTGATTGTTTTTAAATCTATATTCTTGAAGAACCTTTTTTTATAAAATTGTACAGATCATGGGTGAAGGAACATATTACGAAATTTTAGGCATTGAGGCTAATGCCACAGAAGACGACATTCGTAAGGCTTATAGAAAACAAGGTACGTTTATATGATTTATTAATCATATTTTATAAATTCGTTTAATTTCTCTAATTTTAAGTAGCTTTATTATGGCACCCTGATAAGAATGTTCAGAGAAAAGAAGAAGCAGAAGCAAAATTTAAACTGATCGCTGAAGCATATGAAGTGTTGAGTGATCGTACGTATTTTATTATTTTTACTATACTTAGTTTTATTTGTATCATTTTTTTTATTAATATTTATATAATCAATAGCTGAAAAAAAACAAGTTTACGATTTATATGGTGAAGAAGGGCTTAAAAATAATGGTTCTAGTCAAGATTATGATTTCAGACCAAATTTCGGTTTTCAGGTATGCATGTATTATATATTTATAAAATTTAATCAATTGTGATATTACTTTTTTATTAATATTATTTTTTTTTTAGTTTCATGATCCTAGAGAAATATTTAATAGTTTCTTTAATGGAAGAGATCCATTTGCTGAAATGTTTGGTATGTATTAAATTTTAATTTTAATTGAAATAATTTTTCCTTTTTATTTAAATTCCTCAACTATTTAATCAAAGGAAACCAATTCTTTGGTGGTGGTGGTGGTTTTGGACGCATGCCTGGTTTCGGTACAAGATCTCCATTTGATGATGATGATGGTTTTTTTTCCAGCCCATTTGGTAATTTTGGACCGTCAGGATCATCATATTCATTCTCGTCGTCGTCATCATCATCGTCGTCTGGAGGAGGTCAAGGTGGATTCGTGAGTCGTTCAATAAGTACAAAAATTATTAATGGTGTTGCAACAACAGTCACTAAAACAGTGGATGCACAGGTAAGCAGTAGCAATAGTAGCAATAGTAGCAATTCCTAGAAATTATTAAAAGTTTATTTTTATATCTAAATTATTTTATATTATTTTTATAGGGTAATGAAACAGTTATCACGGAAACTTCTGATGGAAAACGACAAACTCTTGTGAATAATCAACCACGAGAACAACAACGAGCAATTGATGATGGTCGAAGGACTACTAATATACCTATTCAAGATGTGAATTCATATTACGCACAACGTCAACAACCTCAATTTCAACAACCTCAATTTCAACAACCTCAACAATTTCAACAATTTCAACAATTTCAACAATATCAATATCCTCAGCATCCTCAACAATCTCAACAATATCAACAATATCAACAGCAACGATCAATGAATCAGCAACAATATCGGCAATCACCATTTCAGCAACCACCATTTCAGCAACCACCATTTCAGCAACAAGAATATCAAGATTCAACTCACCCAAAGGGTAGATATAATTATATTTTATTAAAAGAAAATAAATTTTTTTTTTTCGAAATTTTTTATACTAATTTACATTCTTTTTCACCAAAAAGAGGGAGATCATCATAAAAAACACGGTTTTTTTCCCTGGCCTCATCGAAAGCATTAGTTTCCCTTAATTTCAGAATATGACAAAGTTGCTTTTATTTTATTTTATTTTATTTTTTTTGCTTTTTGCGTGAGCTTTTAATTTTCAAAAAAACTATTACAGTTCTTTGTTATACAAAATATTAGGAAAAAAATTCATTATTTTTTTTTTTTTTTTTTTTTTTTTTTTACCCGCATTAGCACATAATGCAAGCCAATTCATGTGAAATAAAAACATTAAACATATCTAATTTATGACGCAGCAAATTAGTAAATTATTGGATTAAAATTTTTTCTATTTATACGTAAAAAAAAAAAATAAAAATGCAATGTACAAGTTAGTTATCACACCAATTTGATAAGCGGAAAGGAAATTGGAAGACAAAAAAAGAAAAAATTCTTTGTGTCAGTCCAACCAGCCTCATTTTACTATTAAAGTAAGATTTTATGTCGGTAAAATCCATTAATATTCTCATAAACGCCACATATTAATTTAGCTAAGCTAAGAAAATTAAAAATTCAAATCCTTTTAAAAAGCCGAGAATTTTTTTCTTTTTTTATCGACGAAGTGATGTAATAAAAGAAAAAAAGAACTACGATATTAAAAAAAGGATTTGTAATCTAATTATCATCATATTTATTTTTTATTTTTTTTATTTTTTTTTAAAAAAAAAAAAAATAATTTTCGGAAATTCATATGTAGTAATTTCGGTAAATGAAATTCCGCATGATTTGAAATAATTTATAAATGGGTGTTCTGCTTATATACAGTACTTCTAATTAATCATTGATTTGTACTAAATAAGATGACACAACATCATTAGACTTTTCTATTTATAAACAGACCGTGCACTGTGAGGTTGATAAGATATTCTAAGTTAAATCATTGGATTGATCGAAAGATCGTAGAAAAATTGAGGCAAATTTTATTGTTTAATAAATTATTATAATTATATTATTATTATTTATACTATTTATATTATTTATACTAATTTATACATTATAATTTGATTCCGCGTGCAAATTTTCATTTTAAATTGTATAAAAAAGTATTTTAAAAAAGTTTTATTTATAGATATTAAATAAAAATCACATTGTCTAGATAGAACAAATCAAATTTAAACAATTATATTTTCATAAGCAAATCTGAGATTAAACAGTTGGTTAATCTTGGGAAATTTATTATTTTTATTATCAAATATGATTAACAAAGTGTTTAAGAATGAAAAAATTATATAAATGCCAACTTCCCCAAATTTTAGCAATTTATTCTTTTCTTGTCTCGCGACTGAAAGAATTTATTTACGATATTTGTAAAATTATCCGAAACGATTTCTACTTCACTAAAAAAAACTACCAAATTTTTTAAATTACGCTAAAATATAGAAAAACTTCTCTTTTTTTATGACTAAAATATTCAATTATAAGATATTCACGCAATTTTTTAACTTTTAAAAAATCTTTAAAATATTTACAAGCCAAAAAATTATATAAATTTTAAATTAAGAAAAAAAAAATCATACTAAAAAGAAAAAAAAAATCAAAAAAAAAACCAAAAAATAAATCTCTTTTCTCGTATTATTTTCTTCCTGGAGCAAAGTCTTGAAATTGAAAAATTTTCTTGACTTCTCTTAAGCTATTCACAGCGCTACTCTTTCCATCTACGGCAATATCCTACTACTTTTAAGGTTCATCAAAAAGGATATTTTAACCAAATATTTAGGTGAGTTAAAATAAATAATCTTTCTATTAGTTATATCATTACGGGCGCGCGCGTGCTTGCTTCCCTGTGCTTGACCGTAATACAAAATCCTACTTCCAGAATAACAAAAAACACACCTGTTTAAAGTACTCTTAAAACCCTTAATTGTTTCATATATTACTAAATAGTAAAAATGAAAAAAAAAAATTGATTGCATAAGATGAAATAAAAAAAAAAATAGATTTATATCATACTTACTTCATCTCCTTAAATTTTTTTTTTTTCCATTTTATCCCCTTATACTTATCCCGTCCATCTATATATGAATATATAATATTCACGACTCCTACTTGCTACAAAATTTTCTTTTCACTATGCTTCAACAATAAGGCCGTTGTAATTAATAATAGTAAATATGAGTCGATCAAAAACAATATCAACTGACCATAATAACTTAGGTTTACACTCTGGCGCTGCTGCAGGCAATCTCGGTAAGTTAAATATTCTACGTAATGTGAAAAAATATTTGGAAATTGAGCGTAAATTGAGCTTCCATTTATATAGTATTTTTGGAAAACGATAGATAAAATTGATCATATTGTGAATTTATACTTATTAATTTATGATTTTCTTCTTGTCATTTAATATAGGATTAGTTAAATTTGCACTAGATCATGGTCAACCTATCGATTCCGTATTAAATGGAGTCTTGCCAATCCATGTTGCGTGCATCAATGATCATGTATCTGTTGTACAGTATCTTATTGAACGAGGCGCAGACGTTAATGCTCCAAGGTAAGATTGATATTTTCTCATCATGTAATTAATTTCTTTATGTATTAATATAATATATTTATTAATTATATTATTTCTTGTTGATTATGCAGACTTTCACACAAATATAATGGTACAGAAAAAGGTAGATCAACGGATCAAACAGTAGGAACAACTGGATCAACCGCATTGCATTTTGCTGCCGCAAATGGATGTACTCAAACAGTTGAATTATTATTGAAAAATGGTGCAATTGTGGATGTAACCGATAAATATGGTTCATCTCCATTATCGGTAGCAATGGCAAAAAATCATGCTGATGTTGTTGAATTGTTGAAAACTTTTGGTGCTATACAAGCTGCTGAAAAACAAAAATTATTACAAGATGATTCAACACTCACAAAAATAACAACAAATAATTTGAAATCTTCAAAACGACCAAAAGAAAAACCTTCGAAAATTATTAAGTCGAAGAAGAAACCTGCTCTTATAACGACAAAATTCACACCAAGGACACGTCGCCCCAGTTTACCTGTTCAATTTGAAAAAAATGAATTAAATAACAATTCTATGGAAAATGTTTTATTAAAAAGACAACCTTCAAAGTCAATGGAATTACCTTCGCATTTGAAATCAAGAGAGGAAATTTTCAAGGATGATGAATTTATTAGCGACAACAATGAAACAATGACTATTGATTCATTAGATAAACCTTCTATAGATATATCTTACCATTCAATGGATGAATCTTCGCCCGATGTTAAAAAACTTAAATCGCCAACAAAGGAACTGTTTCGTAAGAGTTTAACTCTTACAAGACAGTTAACTTCTACATCCTTAACTTCTTTAGCATCATCAAATAAAAGTCGTTCGCCTGATCGACGATTTTCATTTTCTTCTTCGCCTGTTACTCCACAATCAAATCCGTCTGCTATTTCTCTTCTAATGACACCTCCAGATATACCCGGTTCGCCCTCAACTGCTTCTACAGCACCCACGGAATATGGAGGAGATCCTGATTATATTCCATTACCTCCCGTAATTGTAGAGAAAAAGAAGAGAAGATCAACAGATCCTTTACATGAATTAAAAGCGAAAAAATGGAATAATAATGAGACAAATGATGATGGTAAAATGTCACGTTCAATGTCTGAAGGTAGTGGAGTGAACTTTTTTTTCGCTTCACCCAACAAAAAGCAACAAATTTCTTCGGAAAATTATCGACCTGTGGAAAATCGTAGAAAATCCTCCTTTTCTATGAAAGGGTTCTTTGGAAAATTAACGGACTTGATTTTGGGAAAATCTTAGTCCAATTATATTCTACATATTCTGTAGAAAATAACGAACATTTTTCTTTTTATATATATATATATATATATTTTTACATAGATTTGTTTTATCACCTTTTATTGCATTTTTTTTCTTTTTTTTTTTTGTGGATTATTTTTATCTCTTTTTATTTTTATCACATTTCGCGCATATTGTTTATTGAAGATCTTTTCCTTTTTTTCGGTATGTCATATATTTATATTTTTCTTAATTAAGGGCGTTCCGTGTTTACTTGTAACGGGTATCCGCGGAATTCTTTTGTTTACACTATATAAAGAATTTATAATAAGCATTTTTTTTTTACATTCCGACATTCCGAGTCTTTAGTCCGAATTTTACTATTTGTATACATTTTTATAATATTTTTTTTTTTTTTTTTTTTTTT